ATTAAATTTTTTCCTACGTGGGAACGAGACACTCACAGATATAAACAATGTACACGTCATATAATATATTGTACAACAAACCAAGTGTAGCCACCCAAAGTTAACATTTCTGTGGGCTATTTCTGTTATTTCTTAAACATTATTAGTTATAGTAAATTAAGTAAAAATACAATTTTTATATAATTAAAAATATATTCAAATAATAATTCAAATTATTTGTAAAGATAAGTCATAAGACTCAAATCCAACAAAATTTGCCGATTCTGTTCCTTTACTTAGTACATAACTACAGGAAACTAGTGCAGAATATATTTAATTGTTTATCTGTGGTAACATTAGAGAACTATAATCACTCTATGAAAACTATACTGTGTCCTGTAACTCATTTTCAAAAAAACATTTTTATCTAAAATCGCACTTATCAACATTTAAATAAAGTTTTTAATTTTTTTCTTGATTGGTTTTACTGTTACTCTTGCTCAGTTGCTTAGAAAAGTACATCTCCATTCTAACCTCTCACATGTTTTTGTACAAACTTAGTTAACATAGTATTAGATATTAAGCTCGTTAAATATCTAAACAAATTGCCTATACTTTATAATTTGAAATTTCTATGTATACCGTAGCGTACAACATATTATAGTATTAAACTGTACAGCTTACTCCTTAATACATAGGTGACGGGGGTTTAATTTTTGTAACCTACTTGCGGAAGATAACTTTATTATATTATGTACTGACACTCTTGTACGTTATATCTGTATAATATCTTATCTCTTAGGCGGGCAAATACATAATAAATATGATAATTTTTAGATTATCATCCTCATGCGAACGGTCGCGGTGTTGTAGTAATAATAACACACCTATGAATATTATGTAGATACACAATATTTTAAACTAATATAATATTATCGTGGACGTACTGCGACAAACGCGATGGCTTCATATCAATCGCGTTAATATAACGTTAAAACGTTTTTGTCACACGAAACTAACCTGTAGAGATGATGACCGCGCCGGTTATTTTAATAATTATTTTTATGATAATATTATTATAATCTAAAGCGCCAAAAATAATACTAATACTAGTTTTCAGTTTTGAACTGCTGCAGTGGACGCGTGTAACCTCTGTGTATTGGTTACGGTGAATTAGACGAGTTGTTTTTTATGGCTATGTTTTGGAGAAAAAAAACAACATAGAACACACACGTTTATGTTTTAATATATAATTTAACCGAAATAACACATCTCGCCAACTAAGATTGCCTGTTCGATACTGTCGACAATAATAATTATTTTAATTCGATTTCCGGTCCAAGCGGGTGTCCGAAAATGTACCGGAATTCATATTGTATTATTATAAACTTCAACTACTCCGTTTGATTATAATATATAATTTGTTTTTTTTTTTGTAATTTGACTTTAACAAAGCTCAATCTGACCATACCTATAATGCAAATAATAAAAGCCATTAGACAAGAATATGCATATTTTATAGTACACCAAAAATAAATCAAAACCAATTAATCCACAAAATCAAGTACTGACTTTAGAAATATTAGTTTAATTTTAAGTTTACATATTATTTAATTAGGTAAAAGCTTATAACTTTTGGTTTAATTTGTCAAATTGTAAAATAATAAAATAGTTACACCTAACGCTTATAACATAAAAATGTTATTTTTTATTTATTTTATAGAATGATTATATTTCCAATTATTTGACAGCTATTAATTTAAATAGTTGTTAATCATACATTTTGTATACCTACTCAAAAAAAGGTTAATATAATGACAAAATAAAATTGTTTTTTATAGATATACACAAAAAATTTATTATATAAATGAAAATGGTGTCCTGTCAGCTGGCTGTGATTTAGGTGGTTATTAGACACATATCATGACATCTATGCTTTCATACGTAATATTTTATAGTTGCAATATTGACTGTAGTTAATTAAATCACTATAGTCTTACAGTACATATTTGTTAGCATTAATTAAATGAGAATCATTAGTAAGAATTTTAATTAAGGTTTACGTGCAAATATTGTTTTATCACTGAGTAATATTTAACTCGGTATGGTGAATCTAATTAAACAACTGACTTTACTATTTATCTAGTATGCATTAAAAACGGCCGGTTAATCTAGGCAATTTACTCAGTTCGCATTAACCCAATGTCCGTTAATCGTTACAAGCAGCTGTCTATTGCGCATTAGTTCTATGAGAATTAGTCACGGACTTAATCAGTCCTACTTCCGGGCGTTTGTTGATTGTACAGCTGCGAATTCGAGTCGACTTTCTGCACCTATTCGTTTCACAAAATTAGTTTTTTTTTTTAAAACTGTGATTTACACATTCGCGTAGGTAGGTAGGTACGTTGTATCTATCCAATATCTCTGATCGATTAAAAGCAGGGGCGAGGGGTGAGAGGGGCGAGTCGATGAGGGTAGGAGGAGGAGAAAAAGTGATGACCCTATTATCTCGAGATAAGAGAGAATATAATATGGGAAATTACCGCTCGCCGGTGACGTAAACATACACACGCATGCGTGTCCCCGGCAAACGTTATTAATGGGCAAAGTGCGGGTGGCCTTTCCGGCACACAAAACCGGCGAGCACCCGACACAATGGACCCGCCGACTCTATCTGACCCATTGATCGCGGACAATGCCTTGCCATGCAAAACACGCCGCCCCGATCACTTTCGGCCGTCTTCTCTCTGGTCTTTTTTTCGCGTCGCCGCCACTACCGCGCTCCCCCGCAACATGTCGTCCCCGTGTACACGGTACAAGACATATTATTATATTCTTTTCATTGCGGCGGCGGCGATAATAAAACGTAATGTTATAATAATGGTCAGCGTGGCCGAGAGAGAGAGAGAGAGAGAGAGAGACAAAACGATGATCGGCGAGCACCCACCGCGTTATAATAAGCTGTTCTGCCGCGCCACACTGTGGTGCGAGGTACGCGAAACCGTTGAAACGGAAAAAGAGTTGTGTGCCGCCCACAAAACCCTCCCCCCCCCCCCACACACCCCATTGACGATGTGCCAACGTCGAAAAGACGACCCTCGATTACCTTCGTCGTTGTATATCATTTTCTGTTGCCCGTTTGTGTGTGTGTAATACACCGAAAACGGATTGATTTCGGACGTCACGACCATGATCACGATCATCGTTTACTAGCCGTAATAATAATAATTGTGTACCTATTTATATACATATATATATATATATTGCACGGCTAATAATGTATCGGTTGTGTGCGCGTTCCCGGTGAGCGCGAGTGATGGGAAAAACTGGTTTTTATCTGTTGTCGAAATTGAATTATTACAAGATGCGCGCGCGGTCCGATGAAAGAGGAAAAAAAAAATAATGAACGTTTATCCGCGCGTGCTCTATCTTCGGTTCGGTTGAAATACTTTAAGAGTTCCATGTTTGTATACAATAATGTCATATTGTATTGTACATTAGCGGTACAACACGGGTTTTGATCTAATAACATAACGGCCCCGACCGCTAATTAATAATAAACAAATAAATAAATATATTAGTTATCAGGCAGGCAATTTACTTAAAATGGATAACAGTTGTACGTCCAGCCGTAGAACATTTGACGAGTGAGAAATTTGCATACAATTAATACATTTATAAAGTTTTTAGACTAAGACAACAAAATATTAATTATAATGAGCAACGTTAATAGGTACCGGTAAAGGTTTTTTATAAACGGGCAAGTTTATGGGGAACAGGTATAAAATTAGTGTTCTCTAAAAATATTGCCTAATATTATATCCAAATGATTCGTTAGTGTATCTGTGATTTTGTCTTGCTTTTTGGGTAAAAATGACGAAAAACTAATACATATAGTCTGCTACATGTATGCAACAAGTGCATGTATATCGATCACAATCATCCTACAATAAGTATACTTATTGAACACTTTTAATTATAATACACTTATTACCCAATTGTATAGGTGTAAACTGTTTGACCGTAAGACTTCTGCTATGTTGTTACGATTCGATAACTTTTTATCAATATATTAAATACACAAAATAAAACTCCGTGCTATACACAGGATGTACTGAACAATGGGTAATATTGTTTATTTTTCATATTAATTTTAAAACGCTATACTGAAGAATAATACTGTACACAAATCAATATTATTGAACATTATCCTTAGCCCAGAATCCAGGGGTTCGTTTTTACCACAGTGTATCTGCACGGCATATTATTATGTTTACCCTAAGGATGTTATGTACACCGTCAACTACCGGTTTAGGCCGGAGACGTTTCCTGAGTTTTGTTAAAACGATTATAGTTTTTTTTTTCCTGGCCTTTTTTATTTGCACTTTGAACACAACGACACACATGTTTACAATGTAAACGATATTATACGTTTAAATTATTAAAAAAAAAAAATAAGGATGGGGGAAAAAGTTTATGACAAAAACCGTGCATGTGCGTTATTGTGCGCGCATCACACAATGACGTTGACGTACAAAATATACAATATCAAAACCGAGTGGATAATAATAATGCGCATATTCACGTTGTATTGGTTTACATATTTAGTTGTGTGTGTTATTATGTAGTATTACAGAAATATGACAAAAGTCAAAAAGGAGAGAGAGAGAGCCAGGACCACACCGGCTGCAGTAGTGTACAAATACAACCTGTTTACGGATGATTGAATTCACACGGTCCAACAACCCCCGCCCTAAAAAAAAAATCTAAAAATATAAGTTTTTAATATAATATAATATTATTATTATTATTATCATCGTTTACGTTTGTATTTTTTTTTTTTTAAATATCACTAAGAAAAAATTACACATCAGCTTGCATGTGTGACGTTTACATTGGAGATTACGGAGGATGTGCTGGAAGGAAATAAACATATTGTATATTGGCAAACTTATGTCATAATATTTTGATAAATTCTATTGTTGTTATTGGAGACGGTATTTTGTTTGCATGTTATACAGGAAGAACCGGCGACGTGGACGTTCCGTCGGAACCGGGTATTGTGATATCCAGAAAACAGAGAAGAGGAAGGACCGCGTTTACCTCACAGCAGCTCGAAGGACTGGAAAGGTCCTTTTTAACGTGCCAATACCCAGACATAGCGGCCAGGGAAGCACTGGCCGCCAAGTTTGGACTTCCGGAACCCAGAGTTCAAGTAAGCTATTATTATCTAAACTACTAATAGCTAACTATTAATAGTATTAAAGTGTACTAAGATGTCACTCGATTTGATACAAGTCTCCCATACGTCAAAGATTGACAAATGATATAATTTTTCAAGTGCTGTCAAATGACCGCTTAATGGCAGTTACGATAGGTTTAGTCGGAAAAACTTAAGTAAAGTTTATCAAAAGAATACGTTTCTAATCATGTCGATAAAAAATATTATTACATTATCGTCATAGAGTTTTATAATATTTCCATCATGTTTTAACAACAGTTTTATATATTGAATCTCTGGCGAAAAACTTTTTTGCAATGTTTTAACACATTTTTGAAATTAATGATTAAATATTGTGTTTTATAGCAATTTTTGGTTGTATTTGTCGTTTATAAACAACAATTATTTCAAGATAGTTACTATAAAATATTGATGATTTTCACTAAAAAAAAATCTATTTCGATTTACACGAGAAACAAAACATAGTACCTATACTGAAATATATAAATAATTATGACTTAATATAATGATTTTAATTTTAAGGTGTGGTTCAGCAACCGGAGAGCTAGATGGAGAAAACAAAGCAACTCTAACGTGCAACATAATATAATCAACAGTAACTTTTGCGAAAGCTTAAATCCACCTACTTATACTGGTAATTTTTTATTTGTTAAAACATAATATTACTTAGTATTAGCGATAGTGGATCATTCTCTTACATTCGAATACCAATGTAAAAAATGTATAATATATTGTGGGGCTGGTCAGGTGTTTAAAACTATGTTCAACTGAGTTATTCGCATGTACAAAATTTTAGAAAGCGTACACATTGTTCGAAATGACTGTATTTCAAAAATAAACTTACACTAATCGTAATACAATAATTGTTATAACGGTACTTTAAAGTTCTTATGTTTGATAGTTTTTTTAGTAACTATTATATTTCAATTTAGAAAAAAACCTAAGTATCTAAAAATCAATTAAAAATATAATATTATATATTCTAGCTGTTGTTTCAAAATATGAATACTGTATCTCAAATTAGAAACGTCTAAAAATACTTAATCGAAAATTGCGTATTTTAATTTTTAGACACTTTCACAGTCTTGTTAAAAAGTGTATGTTTAGTATTATCCGAAATTGATAGAAAAGTAATATTGTTTTGAGAAAAATGGAAAACTAGGTATAGACAGAAAACCGCTTAAAAGGGGGGATCCGTTTTTTACTCCCAATATTCCCATCTCGCAACTGGAAGTCCGGTTGGATGAGATGGAAAGAGACCACAGAGATGTTTTGTGGTGACCGAAAAGTACATTTAGACTTGGAACGCTAAGAAACAGAGAAGAAGGTATAACTAACTATGACAGTCTGTTAGTTGAGCTTAGACGCGTCAATCGGCTTCAGCTGTTATTATTTAATCAAAGTAAATACCTCTGACGTATTATAATTGTAATTTCGAGCAATAAAAAACGATTGAAGTGTTTCTCTCTGGTGGTAAAAAAAAAAATTGTATCACATACCGCTGTGACAGAGTACGCATAACGCCATCTAGCGGAGTTTACCGTTAGACTTGTTCTGCGACACGGAAGTGTAGATGGCGCCACACTTTGCTTACTTTTGGGCTCTGAATAAAAAAAATATTGACGATCTTGTAGAATACATATATTTTGTTGTATTGTAAAATATTATAAATTGAGGAGTCGTTGTTAGCTAGCGTTAGATCCGGATCGGCCACAACCACATTAGTGATTGTCCAGCCTTTTGTCACTGCCAAGACAGCACTAGATAGCATATACAATTTTAAGAAAATAATCAAATCCCTTCTTGAGCAGGTACTGCTGACTGGAGGCTTCAACCGAGTATCCAGTACAACGGTTACTACGACGGGACGACTTGGGACGGATACCAACAAAACGCGGCCAGAACCAATGCGACGGCCGCCCATCAATACGGCGACATGTAAGACAGTTATTTTTATCTACCAAAACTGGGCCAACAGTAGTTGTCGTTTATCGTACATCGACTTTCGACTTAACATAGATTGATATAAGACATCTCTATGCATAACACTTGTGTACAGTAATCTATTACCACCGAGTATAATAATATATATTATTTTTATGCATGTATGTACTGAATGCCATTGCCTACTGGATTTAAATTCGTATAAGGCACCTATGTTTTATCATACGTATATTGACATTTTACACTGAACTAAAATGAAATTCTACCTTTGGAAACGTTAAGAATGTTAGGTACAGGTACTGTCACACAGAGTGACCATTAAATATCGTTGGGCGTACAATATTTAGTGCGAAATGTCTGTACTTGAGAGTATTCCTTATCAAATTTCCAAGAACCGTAACAGTTTTTAATTGTTTTTTACATTTTTATTGTCGTCACGACCGTTAGTGTTTTAAGTGTACTTACTTTAAAAAAAACGTTACTGGCCGGTAATAAATATAATTTTTTTTTTTTTTTATAGATTCGGACCGCCGACTTATGGTGCTTCCAGTGATTTTACGGCCAGTTCAATGAAACGCTTTCCCTCGGTAGACGCAACCGGTGGCCTCCAAACTTCATCGTCAACAGCCGCTGGCCGCTGGACGGACTTCAACAATAAGTCCACTGTGGACGGTTGTGCCGTTGCCTCTTACTTCAATAACAATTTGTTATGAGACCCAACTGTGTACAGAACCAGTGTATTCCCTAATAGCATCGGGAGCCAATGGGAAACTTCCCGTTATCTTCCCAGCATTAAATAGGAAGTTAACAGGCTGTTCTAACTCGGTATGGACTTGTATTTTGTCGAATGACCATAATATTCTGGCACTTCCGCTACGTATTGGCTTCCTATTTAACGCCGGGAAGATAACGGGAAATTTCCATTAGCTTCCCGACTTCCCGACGCTATTAGAGGTACAACGATCTCATTTGAACCGGTTCGAAAGTCTGTAAAATCGTCAGAGCGTATAAGCTCTGACTTAAGCGTGAAGTCATGCGGCCAGACTTACCGGAGCAGGATGAAATGCTTATAGATGTTCTTAATGAAAAGTAGCCGCCATGCCATTAACTTAAACGATATAACTGATGGAAAATAAATAATTGTTAGCTCTATAGGAAATCTAGGCGCCCTTTGTTAAATGGATGCTCGAAGATAATAATATTTACATGCATTTGATATTGCTAACGATTTACACGTGATAATATTGCATAGCTATGTCTCGGAAACTAGAATTATTATTATATTTAATTATTGTGTGATTCAATTTTAGAAACAAGTTACACGTCGTTTAATAATATATTTAGTTTACATATTATGTAGTTATAGATATTATGTTAACTTATAAAGTCGAATGTTTTATCGGAACAGAAACATTTTATTTGCAGACCAAATGAACATTTTACATACTGTACTTTTTTTTATAAGTGAATTATAGATTGTGAGATGACAAATAATTATTCCCTTTTTATGTAATATTAAAACCAAAATAAAATGTTTAAAAATTGTTACATGATGTAAAATGTGTACATTGTATTATAATAAATATTAAATTGTATCGTGTGCTAATAATTATACTAAAATTGTTGTAAATATAATATTATAAAAAAAATAATTGATCAAATTAACGTTAACAATAACAATAATAATATAATAATACTATTTGATGTTTTAAACATTGCATTGGTCGATTAGGAAAAAAATTATTACTTAAGCTTATAGTCGAACACATAATGTTGACAAATTACTTGTTAGCATTTTGGAGGTGGTCCATGGTGGTTAATTACATGTGGTGGTTCACCACATTCAGGACCGTGACCATAACCGTTTCCTTGTCCGCTGCCTCTTCCTTGGCCAGAACCGAATCCTTCGCCAATACCACTTCCTCCTCCATTACCGCCCCCCTGACCAATACCAAAACCTTCTCCTATACTGAAACTTTCTCCTAGACCGAAACCTTCACCTATACCACCTTTTCCTCCACTGTTGCCTCCTAATCCAATGCCGAATCCTTCACCTAGACCGAATTTTTCGCCTATACCACTAGCTATTCCTAAAGCTTTATCCCCGAATTCCATAGCCTGTGAACAAAACGCCCAACAATATTGTCAATATAAAAAAAAATTATCATAAATATTTAAATATCTTTATATTATAATACTTAAGCCTTGAAGAGCAATAGAGTCTGTTAATTGTTATAATAGACTTTATAGTATAGTGTTCAAATTTCTTTGCTAAGCTACTATTAAAAATTAAAAAATTGTTTATCTCTTATAATTAATTACCATAATTAGTTTTTATAATATTATAATAGTGACATTGTAAACTAGAGAACAGTTATTCATACCTACGACTTTATGCGAGTTTTGTATAAACACAACGTTTTTACATTACAATATTATATTAATCTGATTTTCTGTATAAAAACGACAAGGAGCAACACATCTGTTTATGCAAAATAAAGGTTGTCTTCTGTGTAATTTTTGTTGAAAAAAAACCACATCGTATGGTTATTAAAATGTATTCTAAAATAGAATGATAGAAAGGCATCGTAGGCCGTAAACACGAGTAAAGTCGTTTGTGTCGATGCAGTATATAATGTATATTATGTATGACTTATGTATGTACGGTTTTTAAAAAAAAATTATTTTACGTTGTACTTACTTTGCTACCGATTTTACCCGGCAAGTCGAAGAAGGGCGCTAGTTCAACGGTCGATACCAGAAAAGCGAGCCCGACGGCTGCTATGACGTTGCGGTTCTTTGTGATCATCGAAAGGGCCATTTTTTTCGTCTGGATTGGTTTTTTGAAATGGACAAGACAAGAGTGGTCGGCGACGGTTATACTGTACTTGTCGGATATAGCCGTTCTTTATATATCTAAACTTTGAATCGTTATCAGTACCGAAACGACGGCCAAAACGTATTAAAAGCACGAAAAACGTGGTAAAGATAGCGAATTTTATTGCTTAAGATGTATTATACTAATGTTATTATGTAATATCTTATATCAGTAATAATGTGTTACATAATTGTTTTCTACAACAAGTCGACCAAATATATTATGTCAATTTAGTTAACTAGTGTATACGTGTAAACTATAAAGTGCTTAGATGCTAATTACTTAATGCAAACATTTTAATTATTTACACATATTATAGTATATAGCCTGAAAATGTAATGCGTTAAAGGTGTAATTTCAATTTAATAGAAAAACGCTATGGACTATACATTTTTGAGAAATTTACACACGAAGGGCTGCGGGGAAAAACGATCATAGTCAATATACCCAAAGTTTTCAGTATTGCAGTTTTATAGTTTCAGAAATTAAAAAAGACTTGGAGATTTTGCATAGGATAACGCACATAAAATAATATTATTCTGTAACTATGTTTGTTGATAAGTTTAATTACAAAATAATCAAATATATCAATCTATTTATCTATCAATTTTAGAAAAAAAAAAATCGAATGAAAAAAAATTGGCGAGTGATTTTCTCCGCAGCCTTACCCGCAATAATTTATGTTATAGCCTTATTCTAAATCTACTTTTATTTTAATTTTCAAAATTACACTCGCAAAAGCAAAATAATATAAAAGTTTGCTATCTCTAAGGGAAGGGATTTTTGAAATTTTGTCAACGTTTATCCATACAAATTTAGAACTAGTATTACTTTTTATAAAAAATTATTTAATTTGAAATATATTATTATATACAATTTTTTGGTTTTTATTCTCCATTTTGAAAGGGAAGTGGTGAATTTTTTTAATTTGTTTCCCAATTAAAAACTATATTTACCCACATGCAGCTATTTGTGACACAAAAATATGAAACAAATATAATTAGGCGTCATTTTAAAACCAATTTTCTTCTCCGCTCCGTATCGAAGCTTAAAATATTATTATATATAATTATTTTATTTTTATTTAAATATCTAATGTGTTTTGTTTTTGTTCAAGCAAGAAGTTGACAATACAACAAAAAGTTGTAAACGCCGTCAAACTCTCATGACTTGATTGTGATTTATGAATCACAATCCATCATTGGTTTGAATTTTTCTTATCTAAGATTATTTAACAACTGTTAAGACCTTCATAAATAGTTTATAATTATATTATTTATACGATAATATTGTAGGTAAAAAAAATTAATTAGTATTTTTAACTTATATAAAAACGATAGGTAATACAAAATAGATAAATTATCTAAAATGTAAAAATATTTTATCATAAAAACTTAATATTTTTTCATATAGAAGCTTAATATTTATGGTTTTCGATTTTTTAATTGAAATTGATTGAAAAATAAGTAGGTACTATGTTATAGTATAAAACCAATTTTTTCTCAGCTCCATTAAGCTAAGAGATGAAAATATAATGAACCAAGATGAAATATTTCAATGAGATAATTTTAGTTTTTAAGATAAAATTAAGATTAGAAAATATCTTCGATCGATAACTATAATAATTGTGTAGTTTAGATAATATTTAATCTGGCCTATTTAGTTTAGAGATTTTTCTGCTACTCATAAATACTTTCACACATAATAAAACCATTTTTTGCATTACAACACTAAACAGAATTTATATGCTAAATTTTGTTGACAAATATCCAATAGGTACTAATATAAAACTGGACTCTATGTGGACTCTATCTGGAATTAATGCAATCGCGACACTAGAAAGTAAAAGTGTGTTGGGGGGAAGAAGGGGAGAATGGGATCCCAGAAACAAATCCATGATTCTATGTTTTTCCGTGTAGCGAAAAATTAATTTTCAGACACCTTTATATACGGTTCTTACCTTACTCTACTTGTATTGAACATCTTCATAAATTAGGTATAAAAGCTTTGATCTGCGTCCCGCTAAATTATTTTCTTTAACCGGATAATTTCAAATTACTTGAAACTATTGAATCATTAAACGATTCTTATTTATTACATAAATGTGAATTTTTTTTTTTGTCGTATAAAGAAACGTATATTCGTATTCAATAAATAACTTTGTACATGTTTTGCCTATCGTTACTCTGAGAACTTGATAAATACATTTGTATCTGATTTAACCTTACACACACACATATATCTAAAATTGTCAATAATGCTGCTAAACAAATAAAAATTGAATTTTATTACATAACATTGTTTTAAATTTTCAAGTATTATTATTTTAAAACTCCTTTACTCTTGTTTTTTCGACTTTTCTATTTCACCTATTTTTTTTGTTTTCCTAAGCGTTTTTATGGAGAACCCAGTTTGAATTTTACACAATTTATGTAAAATAATCTGAGCTTATTGAAAAAAATATTAGAAAAATTCTCAAATTTCGGGCGTTACGAAAAACCAACTTTTTAGATTATAAACTCAATTTTAATACCTTTTTCGTTCGTTCGTATTTGGCGTTTTGACCCATAAAATATGTGTAAGTAATTATTTATGTAAAAATTGTCTTATTGTTTAAAATTAATTACATTATTGAAAACTGTAAAAATGTATTGTTTATTAAACTTATAACTTTACTATGTAATACACATTATAGCATTTTTAAAAATTAACCATTACCAAACAAATTAAATAAATACAGTTCAGCTCAAAATATTATAATTTTTTTTCCTAGTAGCATACAGGGCCGCCTCCGTAAGATGGTGGTTTATTACCACTTCCATGGCCTGCGCCACTTCCTTGTCCACTGCCACTTCCTCGACCTTCCCCGCCTTGACCAGAACTGTTTCCTTGACCAGCACCGCTTCCTTGTCCACTACCACTTCCTTGACCTTCCCCGCTTTGACCAAAACCGTTTCCTTGACCAGCACCGCTTCCTTGTCCACTACCACTTCCTTGAGCTTCCCCGCCTTGACCAGAACCGTTTCCTTGGCCAGCACCGCTTCCTTGTCCACTGCCACTTCCTTGACCTTCCCCACTTTCACCTTCACCGCCTCCGAGGTGTGGTGGCTTATAGGGTCCGTGGTGAGGTGGCCTCAATGGTCCGTGATGTGATGGTTCACCGGCTCCGTGATGTGGTGGCTCACCGCCTCCGTGATGTGGTGGCTTATGTGGTGGTTCACCGCCTCCATGATGTGGTGGCTCACCGCCTCCGTGATGCGGTGGCTTATGTGGTGGTTCACCGCCTCCATGATGTGGTGGCTCACCGCCTCCGTGATGTGGTGGCTTATGTGGTGGTTCACCGCCTCCATGATGTGGTGGCTCACCGCCTCCGTGATGCGGTGGCTTATGTGGTGGTTCACCGCCTCCATGATGTGGTGGCTCACCGCCTCCGTGATGCGGTGGCTTATGTGGTGGTTCACCGCCTCCATGATGTGGTGGCTCACCGCCTCCATGATGTGGTGGCTTATGTGGTGGTTCACCGCCTCCATGATGTGGTGGCTCACCGCCTCCGTGATGCGGTGGCTTATGTGGTGGTTCACCGCCTCCATGATGTGGTGGCTCACCGCCTCCATGATGCGGTGGCTTATGTGGTGGTTCACCGCCTCCATGATGTGGTGGCTTATGTGGTGGTTCACCGCCTCCATGATGTGGTGGCTCACCGCCTCCGTGATGCGGTGGCTTATGTGGTGGTTCACCGCCTCCATGATGTGGTGGCTTAGTGGTGGTTCATCGCCTCCATGATGTGGTGGCTCACCGCCTCCATGATGTGGTGGCTTATGTGGTGGTTCACCGCCTCCATGATGTGGTGGCTCACCGCCTCCGTGATGCGGTGGCTTATGTGGTGGTTCACCGCCTCCATGATGTGGTGGCTCACCGCCTCCGTGATGTGGTGGCTTACCACCCCCGTGGTGTGGTGGTATTTGAACAGGACCGACTCCTAAATTTGGTGGTTTCTTACCACTTTCATGGTCTGCGCCACTTCCTTGTCCACTACCACTTCCTTGTCCACTGCACACTCACTCCTTGACCAGAACCGTTTCCTTGACCAGCACCGCTTCCTTGTCCACTACCACTTCCTTGTCCACTGTCACTTCCTTGTCCACTGCCACTACCTTGACCAGAACCGTTTCCTTGACCAGTACCGCTTCCTTGTCCACTGCCACTACCTTGACCAGCACCGCTTCCTTGGCCACTACCGGATCCTTTTCCTAGACCGAAACCTTCACCAATACTACTACCTCCTCCATAACTACTTCCTTCACCAATACCAAATCCTTCCCCTAAACCAAAACCTCCTCCACTACCACTTCCTTGTCCACTGTCACTTCCTTGTCCACTGCCACTACCTTGACCAGAACCGTTTCCTTGACCAGTACCGCTTCCTTGTCCACTGCCACTACCTTGACCAGCACCGCTTCCTTGGCCACTACCGGATCCTTCTCCTAGACCGAAACCTTCACCAATACTACTACCTCCTCCATAACTACTTCCTTCACCAATACCAAATCCTTCCCCTAAACCAAAACCTCCTCCACTACCGCTTCCTTCACCAATGCCGAATCCTTCTCCTAAACCAAAACCTCCTCCACTACCGCTTCCTTCACCTATGCCGAATCCTTCTCCTAGACCAAATCCTTGACCTGTATTACTTCTGGCTATCTGAGACTGTGAACAAATATCAACAATATGTCATAATATTTTTAAAAGTTCTACTTATTAAAAGATGCATGTAATCTGTGAAAGTTTCTACTATTTTACTTGTACTACATATAATAAAGGTATTTCATATATTTAGGGGTGCTAGATACAAAAAAATAAAATTAATGTATTTATATTATTTTAAACAAATATAATACTAATGTGTTTAAACTTTATTTTTTTTTATCGTGAAAACATTTTTTTTTACTACTGTTGTTAATAGAGAAATTGTATGCGGTTTAAAATGTTTGTTAAAATGAAATTAACACAAATGCAAAAATAACATTACACTTTACTTACTGCACATCCGGGTTTATTCGGTGCTAGTTCGACGTTTGTTACTAGTAAAACAAGCGCGACGGCCGTTATGGCGTTGCGGTTATTCGGGATCACCGAAAAAGCCATACCTATTGAAATGGACAAACCAATCAAGCAGGTAGTCTAAGGCGATCGCACTATACTTTACGGATTTGCCGGACTTCATATTTATACTAGTACCTATACGGTTTTAATCGTTATCGGCCTGAAATTAGTAGCCGAAATTTAATTGGTAAAAAAAAATAAACGTGTTAAAGATAACAATATATTTTTATTGCACTATATTTTTATGTTACTATCGGTTTTTTTTGTTTTTATTACAATAAGTCCACTAAATGCGCCAAGTCAGGTTCGGTAATCAATATGCTTTTGGCTTCTTGGCGACACTTTTTAATCAGCGCTCTGCAATCGTCCTAGAAAATTATGCAAGCCCAGCCATTATTAAATATTAACACTTAACGGCAATAAAAACTGTTTATTATTAAAATATGTAGCGCGTTTTTTTACGGCTACATTATATAATACTGGTAAACTTCAGTGAGGCGCACTATTATTACAATATAATGTTGTACTTGTGTACTTTCGTTTTAGCTTACACGCCATTTGATTTTTTATGTTTTTCGAACGTTTTAAAGCCCATTAAGTGGTCTATTCGTGACTTGTAAACCGTTAAAAATAAAATTTGATTAAATTACCCGTTTAGGCTTCATTGTTAACCGCCGGCCCAGCGACTGTTGAATGTAGTACAGCAAAAGCCCTCGAAACCTCGTAAGTCCCGGATCCAAGACGTCAGCCAAAGTCAACAGCTCTTTGCAGATTTTAACGTTGTTGTCCAGCTGCTTCGACGACAAATCTACATCAACACAAACACCCAAATTATTGACCAAACGGGTTAATGACATATAATTGACAAACTACTACCAATAAAGAGAGGGCTTTTAAAGACAGCGGCGTTTTGAAACTTATATGCCAATACACGATTTAGTTGCTGAACATTGAGTTTTTACAACAACAAACAACGACATTTTTGCAGAAAAAAATAGAAATTTCAAGATTATTGTTGTCGTTGGGAAAAATACCAAATTCGATAAGACCAGATTTGTGTACAGCATTGTTTTTTTTTTTTAATAAGTTAGTTTTTGGCAAAATAGTAGTGACAAAAATGACCTTTCGCTGTACAGCCGACGTTATAATGTACTTGAAAGACATGGACGATGGTGCCAAGTCTGTTTATACGCATGAAAGTTCATGTCTGTTAGATCTTCGTCGAATTGCATACAACTATATTTCAACGTCACGTCAAGAAAACGCTTTGATGTCGAATCTGTGGATACTGACTTACCCACTTTGGTAATTTCTTACTGTGGCGGTTTATACTGTGCTTGGTTTCGACTGTACTGGTTTTTTTAAAAATATTTTTTGGGATTTTATACATTTTTCAATCGATCATTGAAAATGTCCAATATACTTATTCTCGACTTAAATGTGATATAATTTTTATTAAATTAAAAAATATGTAGTGACACTGACACTTTTGTATCGAATAAAACTCAATTAATTAAATATGACACGATTTATTGTCTATACAATTATTTATATCTAGTGTATGTTAATATAGTGAACATAGTGTATGCGATCCACAAATTTGCATCAATAAGCGTTTATTTTGAAAGTGGTTTATATCGTTTTCGGTCTTAATAATTCCTTGTCTCGTGACCTCTCCGTCTTCACTGTGCTGGATTTATTTCTTATTGGGTATTTTTTCTTTTAGGTTAGATTTTTTTTTTTACTTTGAATATTAATGTTTTTAACGAACTGTGTAAGAATAAGTACAAACGCACGTGTTGTATTATTTTTGGAGCTGTCACTCATTAGCGGGTTAGGTTTTTCTCAAAAAAAAAAAAAAAATTAAATTAAATTTTCTGGCTCAAGAAGACAAATTAAAATATAGAAATAGTAAGTTCTTGGCAATGTATATCATTAGAAAGGGTACAATGGTTTTTCGAGTATAACCAAAGTAAAGTTTCATGGCATAATATCTTCATCCTTATGGATGTGATAAACACATCCATAAGGATGAAGATATTTTTAAAACTAGATTTAAATTAAACGAATTGTTAAATATTGTGCGATGCAGTCGATAAGGCGTTAAAAACAGGTACGCCCAGAGTTCAAATTAAACACAAAATAATTAAAATTAGTATTCGTGTATAACATAAATCGAATTTTTAAATATCACAATATTTTAATAATATGTTACAGAACACATTTTATCTATTTAGGTATTCGATATTTCTATTCGATTGATAGATTTAAGGAAATATGTGTTGAGATTTTGTGTTTTAGTCAACGCTGAATTCAAATTCAATCCGTCAATATGATTGACTTTTATTGATTACAAATAATTAAAATATAAATTCAACTTTTTAAAAAAAATGAATTATAAGATGCCAAATTAACGTATAAATAATTTTTTTTTACATTTTTTTTTTAATTAATAGGGTTAACATTTTATGGACAGGTACTAGATTTTTTTTTTTAATGAAATCATTTGTTTTAAAGCTGCCAACTATATTATATGTATTTTAATCAGTCGATGAAGATGATATTTAAATTACCCAAAATGCGGTCATTGTACAACTGAGTCAAAGCGTACTTAACACTGACGGCGACAAAGTGATTGCAATGAAACAAACGCGTCGGTCCGTATACTTGACGCTCTAAGAAATCTTCGAACGCCTGCAGATCTGTTCGGTCGAAGCTACGAACCCGACGTTCCGCTTCGGCCACTTTGAGTTCGTACGCCACTCGGTCGTGCTCAGTGCCACAACCTCCGCTGCACTCCACTCGGTCGGGCGCAACGTACCCGCCGCAGTCCGAGCACACAGCCGATCCCAAATGGGTGCCGAATTCCGTCGGGTCGGTGCACCGGTCACACGCGCAATCGAAACACTTGGCCGCCTTTAGGTGTTTCCGTCTTTCCCGGGTGCGCCACAACGATTGCGTGTACGTCGCCGTCACCGGTTGTCCCTCGCCGATGGCGACGGTGGCCAACACGCGGATGGCCCAACGTCCACCGTCGACGAATACGTGCTTGGTGTTGGGCCTGCAGTGGTGGGCCATCATCGAAGCTTGTGCGTAGACGGCTCGGATTTTGGCGCCACCACCGCAACGCACTTCGAACGAGTTGGTGTCCAAAACGGCGGCCGCCTCCAACACGTCGACGTCGTCGAGCCCCGACGCTCTCATGCCCAACCGGTCCAAAACAAACTGTACAAGATTGACCCGGTAGATTCTGTATAAAGCGGTGTCCAGTCGTTCATTCAAGTGCGACTGTAGGCCGCGAAACGCCCGCCGGTTGTCGCCTTCCAACAGCAGACACCGAAGCGGTAACACGAAGCAGTATGCCGAATGGGATGCGCAACTTTCGAACGACTCGTTGTCACCAAACGGGCTGTGGCCGGCGATCAGCCGACATTCCGCCGCGGAATGGTGTGGCCCGCACGAATTGCCGGCGTCGCACGCGGGCCAACCGCACCCCCGGCACTTGTGGGCCGCCGACCGGAGTCTCGCGTGGCACGCCAGGCACACGGGCGGCGAGGCGGGTTTGGGTCCGCAGGCCAGCGGTTTCTCCTCGAGTAACACTCGGCCGGCCGGCACGCGGTCTCGCGCCACCCAGTGCCGGCCAAGCGTCGGGCACTCGCGGAGCTCGTACGGCGGCCGCCGGCACTCGGCCTTGTGCGTGGGCCAGTCGGCCAACTGGTGCGGTCTGCCGCAGTACGACGCCCGGCCGCACTTGCCGCACCTGTGGCCCGCCGGCCGCCGGCACACCGAACACGGCGACGGTTCCGGCACGGTGGCCATCGCGCGAATGTGGACGGACCGCCGTCTATTTCGGATAGGGCACGCGTCGATCGTCGCGTGCCAAAACGCATTCCGTCGACGGCGCGGCTAAATAACGCTACACGGCTAATACGCTCATCCGTTCACCTTTTTGGTATTCGAAATCCGTGCGAGTCATTTCTGGTCTTCCCCCCGGGACGGCCGCGACGGTTTAACGGTAAAAAACAATCCCGAGGAAAAAACCATATCGCCGTGCTGTACAACGCGCAATACAGACATAAAACGTCCCGAGGGCCTTGTGAGATTCCTTTTACTCGAAAGAAGGGGACTCGCGCAATACACGGAACGGAGAATGAAAAAAAAACAAACAAAGTACCCAAAAATAAGCATATTTTTACTGCGTTCCGGTTTTATGGAGTTCAATTTCGGGCCGGACGATAAAATATCAACAAAAAAAAAAGAGTACCTTATACTTAAACCGACATATACATATGTGTGATGGGGAGGGTCGCCACTGAGTTCACACCCCGACAAAATGCAATGTACGTAATACACTTACACGAGCGGCCCTATAGAACATTGAGCCGATAAAAGCATGGGAAAAAACCGGTCGGTTTTGCTCGTATAGTCATATAATATTATGTACATGCTACTACTATACGCCGTTATAAGCCGGATAAGCTCGACCGTTAGCGGCAAAAGGTCACGCTCGCCTGTATGTAATATTCATTTGGACTTGTGCGATGTCCGTCATTTTTGCCGGATTTGAATAAGACATAAACTTTAAGGGTAACGGATGTTTTCCATATGCGACTTGTGTGTGTGTGTGTGTGTTTGCACGAAAACTGCCACACTTGACGTCTTTTGAATGTTTAATGGACTCGAGTCGCTCGAGTGTGGGTGCATGGATTAGGTACACGCACATATGTATACACAACAATAGTTTAGTCGACGCTTGCAAAAGGGGTAGGTCTGCTCGACATGATCATATTTTTCAACCTTTAAGTACAATACAAATTACAATATGCGGAGGGAGAGTGTCCGGGAATTGTCACTGCCGAGCGGCCGTAAGTGTGTTTATGAATCTCGCTAGAATATTCATCAGCCAAAACCGTGTACAATACATGTGTATATAATGTACAGAAAGTGTGTTTGCGCTCTGTTATTTGTATACATTATTATGAAGTTATATGAACGACGGGCGACAGGCGCCATGTCCATTAGTTAAAGCACAGTGACATCGATTTATAAGTCATAACACGTCACAAACAATATTAGAGATCGTTTCACCGCTGATGATTTTATTGCCACCGCGATGACAGCGTTCAGTTGTTATTATTAGTTATACAATACTTAGACGTGGAACTGAAAAGGTAATGTGTTCATAATAATGTTTTTTTTTTTTTTGTTTCTAGACATACAATATTTTGTAATCCGATTTCTCGATGTGACAAGATAAAAAAGTACTTAGACTAGGCCAACAATTTAAAAAGTTCACCCTATCCTTTTAAAATTCAGAAAAGCACCCAGTAAATGTACATATTTTTCAATTTAAATTACAGCACACAATCATTTTTTTGAAATAGTCCAATTAATTTCAAATTTGTCAATTAATATAAAACGAAGTAAGTAAAATCAATTTGAAATAGTTTTTTTTGTCTGTTTCTCAGTCCCAATCATATCCTTCAACTCCAATGTCAGAAATATCATACATAAAAGATCACAATAACACAGCAGATAAGCTTTCAGCTTTAATACGAGTTATACATATTTTGATTCTCAAACAGTGGTTGTGTGCAGTCAGTCCTTCCTGTTGTTCTGAACGCACACAAGCCAAGTAAAGTAAACAACAGCATGTATGACAATAAAACTTGATGAGTTCGAATGTTTTTGTATGGAGCGTCAATATAATAATATAATCCAAATAAAAACCCCATGATTATATAATATAATGGCTTACTCAAATTTATTTTATTTGTTCCCCCAAAAAGTTATGAAATCCAATAAATACCACAATAGTAAGTTTTTAAGATGAGATACAATTATATGTATTCCTATTGTTAACGTATAGTACGTAATGTATTGATGTATATCGTGTCAGTTTGTTATACTCTTTCGTTCGTTATAAATGAAATACTCGTTGTTATAACGAAATAACAAGGACCTAAGGATTTTCTTCCTATCGTCCCAGAAAAGTATGTAAAAGTGCACATTAAATGAACTTTTATGCATAGTTCTAGGTGTACAGTTTTTGTTGTATACGACTAGACTAAGATTTGTTTTTTACTTTGAGACAAAAATGCGATAAACTCACTATATATATATATATGTATAGTCGCTTTGTGTACATTTAATCATGTTGTCTCGGTATAACGAGGACGGGAAATATGTGCGAAAAACAAATAAAAAAAAAAAAAAACCCATCTCGGATCGACTTTGTCCGAGGAATAAACCAAGGCGGCGACAGTGCGGTGGAGGGAAACGGTAGGTAATTGAAACGTTACGAGCTCTTGGGGGCACCGTCATCAACAGGCTACGGCCGCTAAGCATGCGTCGGCATGGCACACCGCCACCTTCTACTGGCACCCCTCTCCCCCCCCCCCACCATCCGTACCCACCCCTCGGCAAATGCTCTACCCTCGGCGGCTTGTACACGTCCCCCCTCGCCCTTTGGCCGCGGCGGCGGCGGCGGCGGCGACGTTTTCTTATTTTTCTTCGCCGGCGCATTCTTTGAGCGCTGCCCGTTTTCTTTTCCCCCGCCCTTTCTTTCTTTCGCGCTCTTCTTCTGCCCGTCCCGTGTTCCTTATACCCCAGTGGTGTCCCGCAGACACGAGACTCCGCCCACGCACTTTCTTTCCGCCGGCCCACGCGGTAAACCAAAGCTCCGCAGCCGCAACCTCCGACCGAACAACCGGCCGCGACAAAAAATAAGCAAAAGAAAAGAGAAACACTTTTTTCGAAAACAGTCAGTCGCGCCCGTCCGCCTGTCCTTGACACACAGAAGCGCGTGCGATCCCGCGTACGTTGCCGCCGCGGTCGCGTGTGACCCACGCGCCAGTTGTCGGACGAGTATAGTGCCGCCGCCGTACACCGGTGTGACTTTTGAGACTCTTTGTCAGAGTGAACGCAATTTTTTAAGAAAAACCCGTTTCCGGTGTTATTGTTTCGCGCGACATGCACCACGTGTCCGAGTCGATGCGCAACCGCGACGGTTTCCTGAAAGCCGACGTGCTGGCCGAACGGACGCTGGACAGCCTGCTGGCCGAGCATCCCGGCGAGCTGGTCCGGACCGGATGTCCGCACGTGGTCTGCACAGTTCTGCCAACGCACTGGCGGTCCAACAAGACGTTACCGGTTGCCTTCAAGGTGGTGGCCCTGGGCGAGATACCGGACGGCACGCCGGTGACCATTAGGGCCGGAAACGACGAGAATTTCTGTGCGGAACTCAGGAACTGCACGGCCTTGATGAAGAACCAAGTGGCCAAGTTCAACGACTTGCGGTTCGTCGGCCGGAGCGGAAGAGGTAGGTCGAAAAACGAATTATTTTTTAAACTTAATATGCTCTTTGATGCACTTAGCATCGTATACTTGCACGGTTTTATTTAAATTTATGTCAAAATCAGCGGTGAAAAAATTGGAAAATCCAAATTTATGTGCTTCACAAAACTGAATAAATAGTATTTTAGACTGAAAATATAGTTTGGTCGATTTCATTTTAGTCCATTGAACTGGTTGTTAGATGGAGCCAACTATAAAGTGTTTCGTTGTCACTGATATAGCACATTTTTTTTTTTTTTTTTTGAAGAAAACCAAACATTTTTTTCTGGGTGATAACACTTTCTAGATCAATATTTGTTAATTATTCTGATCAAATAACGAATATTTAATATACAAATATGAACTTACTCCATTTATTTTGGAAACTAAGGCAAAATTGTAAAATCGGTCTCTTTTTCATGGAACAGTTATGTAATAAGAAGGAATAAAAATGTAATAATTTAATTTATTAGGACAACTCCACGGCAATCTGGGTAGGCAAATCGATTACACCAGCATTACCAGTCATGTTTGCACATTGGCATATGATTATTCAACGGTGTGCCAATGTCAACAACACCAAAGGTATTACCGCTTAAGGTCACTAATAATTGCAAACGACATTTTTTAAATAATACAACAAGTGAACCGCAAGCACAAAATGGTACGTACCTACTCTTCTAGCGGTTTTTAGATTAAATGTGTGTACAAAACATTTTTATTTCATAAAAGGTCTTACAATTTTTAAGACTATTAGCTTAAGAATATAATTGCTTATTATATATTATTATTTTAATTGGAAACTTATGCAAGTTCACAACAAAACATTTGATAAATAAATCTGTAAGTGCCTTTAAATGCGAATAATATGTTCGAATCGTTGCATTATGTTTTTATAGGGAAAACGCGGTCAATTAGGGTTCGAACTCGAAATCGGAGATCTTTCCCAATCAAACACTTTCGGTGTAAAACTGAACATCATATATTGTAGTACGTTATTTTGTTCGAGTACAGAGTTTCAAATTAGGTAGTAATAATTATCGTTTAACCGTGGAAGTGTGTTCAAATCGTCAATGCCGTCGTTTCGGAACCGTAGGGTGGAGTATTTTTGGCAAAAAAAAAAAAAAAAAGTAGCGAGCCTATCGTATTAATAACGTCGGCAAAAGAGGCCTCGGGCGGGCAATAATAAAATATCAGTGATGTATAAAATGCTGCAGCGTGTGGGATCAAAGGACAATAAATACAACGGCGGAGCAGTCGAGACTTAAACGTTTCGGAGTTTAATAATATCGGATGACAGCGGGCGAGGGCAGAGTGAAAAAAAAAAAATAAGCCAGTTGCGTTCCCCCAAGTGAAGGCGAGGGATTTTTTTTTCGCCCAAAGAAACCTCCCTCGGTACAAGCAATGATGACAAATTGGCCTACACAACGCGAAGTAAATTGTAACGACTGCGGGAATCTCACCCTCTAGCACCCTGCCTGTACTCCCTCTCTTACACCGCATCCGTTTTCGGTAGCCGAAATTATCCCTTTTTTTTTTAACGAAGATCCCTGGTGGAATCCCTGTTACCGGAGGGCAACATAAAAAAAAAAGAGCTCAACTACACCGTCACGAATAAAAAAAAACCCCGAACAACCGTTTTAAATCTCGCCCGCTCGCAGTTTATCGTTCGAATAGGCTTATGTGATGATATTATCTGTACATGTGTTTATTATATATATATACGTGTAACACTTTACTGTGTTGGCTGTTGTGGTTACGCTGGTGTACCCAAAGTGTATACCGCACGATAGACGGTAACCGCATACCACCGCCATTTAATCGTTAAAATACTTATCAACAAACCTAAGGATTCTATAAGGTTATTATTTGTAGTTGTATACCACTGTTTGCGCTTTCAAACCGACGTTACTGGTCTGGTAGGGGGTCTGAGACCATAAAAAATGTGATTATATCAATAAAAAAAAAAACAATCGGTTAGGTTCTACGAAAAATGATTCTATCGTTATAATTATTATTCTATACACATTACCGATTTATCAAAAGGTATACTAAAGTTCAAAACAATAACATAATATTTAAAAAAAAATATGAACAACGAATATTCGATTGGGTAATTTCGGAGCCCACCAGACTAAAATGTATGCCGGTTTAACATAAGACGGGAAACATTGAAAAATAACAGCAACATCCTATCGCAATGATAATAACAACACCGTTATAAATGATTGTCGAATTAGCGCCCCCGAAAATAAATAGCCCTTCGTTACGAGTTTCTTATGCGGTTCGTTTGTCTTCGCCCAGTTAGCTGTGTTGACTACTTAAAGAGGCCAACGTTCAAGTTTTGGATCGTGACAACTCCGCATTAATCAAAACGCTAAGCGAATAATCCTCGGTTTTGTAACGGTTGGAGGTTCGATGAATTAAACACACATACATACACTTATAGCCTTGCCATGATATTGACAAACAAACAAATCGGCTTAGAATTTTAATAATAATAAACTATGTATATTTGATATTATAATTTTATATTTATTGGGGATGGGGAGGTCATACGGGTGTTCGGGAATTATTATAACCGAAAGTGATGAAATCACTTTCAAAGAAAACGTTTTGATGCGAAGAGGCGGCCGGTGAAAACTATGCTTAATATAAATAATTTTATAGTCAATAAATATAGTTGTCACTAGACATTTTTTAGTTGGTTTGAAAATATGTATTTTATTAAACTGTTAAGTAGAGAATATTCTATAGGACATTTAGACTTATCGGTTGGCAACATTTTATAAAAACGAATGTACTTGTAATAATGTTTTAAGGTTTTTTCGGGTTGTCCTAAGTAAAAAACTTGAGTGTTTCGGATTTGGAAAAAGTTATTTTAATGGTCAAACAAAACATATTAGAATAATAAAAAATAAAAAAGGAAAATGTAATATTCAATATTATAAATACAATATAAAACGAAAAGATAATATTAAAAAAAAAATGAATTGTTGTCTAGTTAATATATTTTTGAAATTTTTTATACTTTAAAAAAAATTTAAACTAGATAATATATTTTAGGTATCTAGGAATTAAAAAAAAATGTTTACCTGTCAACCTTATGGGTTCAAATGAGATGTAAAAGAGTTTTAAATTGTATTGCTTTGAAATTTGTTTAGGTAAAAGCTTCACGCTGACGATAATGTTGAACTCCTGTCCACCACAAGTTGCCACGTACTCTAAGGCAATTAAAGTAACAGTCGACGGTCCCAGAGAGCCGAGGTCAAAAACCAGTAAGTTAATAAATGTTTACTGTTCGTCTGATAAATGTGATCGAATTAAATCGGGTATTAGGCCTATTATTCAATTCGCTTGCAGGGAACCAAGGCTTTCACCCTTTCCACTTCGGGCCGAGACCGTTCCCGTTCGGCACGCCATTGGATCCCAACAGAATAGCAGAATTGCCTTTGAAACTTTCAGGTAATATAAATAATATTTTACTCTAATGCATTTGTTACAATTTATGTACATCATAATACCGGGTTATACGGTAAATTAGCAATTTTACCGGATAAATAATATTGAATGGACTAATGAGATAAAATAAAAATTATTTATTGATGTATTATATGTTTATAGTACATCAATATATAATTTTTATCAATGGAACAACAACCAACAACGTGTCAAATAAGTAAGAACTAATAACCATAGGGTGAGTTTAATATATCATCAACATTTTTTCCTATCGGATTGAACGAGATTCTCTTACAAGAACTTTTTCTTAGGCGCCTACACGTTGTCCCAACGTTTTGTTTTGCCAGTTCTTATCTCTGCCAACTTAGAAGTCGGTGCCCAAATGGGAAACAGGAAATATTGATTAAAACTGAACTTAGATTAATAAAAAAATGCTGATTTATTTAAAAACCAATTATTATTATTGATACTTAAAAAAATATATAGGACAATTGTTTTGTTTTTTTATTCGTTCAAAAAGTTTTTAGTTTTAAAGTTTAATTAACGAAATTGCCAAACTACACTACAATAGATTCCACTGAAAACTTAACTCAAATTTAAACCCCTTAATAAAACGCATGTGCACTGCCAGCTTCCCCGACAACCCCACACGCAGACTCAAACTTAACTGGAATCGTGACCTAATAACATAAAACCGAATAGCAAAATTAAAACTTAACTTCTACTGAGGTGTTACCCTTGGGTGGCTTCTTCGCGTGCTAATGATTCAAGCTATGTACATATCCTCGACAAAAAAAAACTTATTGTAAAATAAATATTGTACAGATTGTTTTGTTAATATGGAATAAAAAAAAAATAATAATAAAGTTTTAAAGTTTAGGTATAAAAAAAACAATTTTCAACTGTCTTGGCAGTTCTTTGTAATGGTCATTCTCGCTCATTTCTGCGTACTACAATCAATAGAAATATTAAAAAGTGGTATACTTTTTTTTGTACCATTACTTAGAACCTAAGCTATTAAACTGTATACATATTATCTACATATATGCTTTATGATAATTTAGTTTAACTTTGAGCGGTTGTTTTTATTTGGCTGCACCGATCAATCTAAACGGTTGAGTAGACTCAAATAACCGATTCACCTCAGGTGTCTCACAAATACATTTACAATAATCACAATTCCCTAAAAAAACCTGTTACACGTAAATAATCGTTTTTTAAAGTACTCGAGCGCTATATTATAAGAACGCCCTGTTGTCTTCGAATCGTCGCTGCTTTAAAAAATAATAAAATTGTGTGCCGTCGGCATCAAAACAATAGGTTTAAAAACGGCGTTAGTAAATTAATTTACACAGCACGACCGTTTTGTGTAATCCGACGGGTGGTGTTTAGACACCAAGGAAATTCCCCCTGTTTATACATAATATATACTGAACACGGCGATAAAGGTTTCTTTAGTATAAAGTAAACATCCCCGATATCTCCCACTTTTGGCTTAACACGGAAAGAACAATTTTATAAAACGGCAACGTTAAACTAAAATAATATATCAAACGTTCGCTCATTCCGGCAAACATTCTATTGTTTTTAATCAGCATTATATTTTAAATAAGTATTCGCTTGAACTGCATTGTATATAAATAAATCATCAAATTCGCAGGGTTTAGAGGCGAATAAATAACATCCGCACTGTTGGTATTATAATGATGATATTAAAATAAACTCTATTAAATTGTGTATTTTAGTAATTTTGGGGTTTATAGACGTAGGCTTAAAAATATACGTTAACGGTTAATACGAATATTTTACATTTATTACAAACTTAATATTATAATATTATACTACGACTGTCAGTTATACGTGAAAGGCCGTGTTTGTAATAACGTAGCTCGACGAACAGTGCTTAGAAAAAAAAATCGCAAGTAAATTTACTATCAATTAAATAATAATCATACTAATAAAATTGATTCTAAAAGCGTTAAACGTGGAAACAATGTAAATATTAAAGTTTGGGAGAATATAATATAGAAGTTTATTAAAAGCTCTAACGTTGTTAATGATAAAGCTACGATAGTCTGATAAACGAAAAAAATAAATTACCGAATACTAATAAATAATATTCAATACTGTAATAATAGTCTTACAATATAATTATTTTAACGCCTAACCGAACGCCGTAGTATATGGGACGGGTGACGTCTGCTTTCAGCTTTTTGTTAAAATGGTTTTGAAAATGTCGAGTTGACAATTACTGTTAGGGCCAACTAACTGCTTGTTCCAGCAAGGTCGAGGTGCTTTTGCCGTGCCAAGTGATTAGGCGATATCTAACGGGTAAAACTAAGGCAACACATTAACCACACACATGCATAGTACGCGTGGGCGTGTGAAACCAACACCGCCAGATACCGCTGATTGTATAGGTGTGGCGGTAAGTGCTTCTATGCTAATACTAAGTAACAAGTTTTAAAAAAGACTTGGACGTTGTTGCGTGTCTCGGTTTATTGGCAGAGCGCCAAAAGTCAATTATTCCACTTTACTAATTTGGAGCTATTAATATAGTGTTTGAAAAAAAAAAGCCTATTCTTAGATTGTCGTTTAACAGCCCGGGGAAATGTCTCGCACTCGGCGTTTCCTTTTGAAATATATCACCATATGTATGCACAAATATTATATAAAGTGCGTGTGTGTGTGTGTGTGTGGATAGGTGGTATAAGTCAAAAACAATAACTCTCGGTGTGTTTTCCCTCTGTCATTGCCCGACACGAGCGCGACTCTCGCGAAACTTTTCTGCACTGAGTGCGTGCAAACTTCACCCTTCGTTTTGCTTCTTTTTATACTTCTAATGTGACAAATAACAAACACCACAGCCCGCGCCACCGGTGTCAAAACAATATTCCGCTCTAGCGACGCTGGCAATAATAATAATATTTCAACGCGCTCAGAATGTACAATATTATACATATATATATATATATATGTATATTATTTTGTAAGTCGTTTTCGAAAAACTTATACAGCCAACGGTGTGCAGCCCCCTCAAGCCTTTAGCGTTATTCAAAGTTATAACACACACATGCGGCGACGTCACGCGCCCCTTGCGAAAATGCTGTCAACGCTTATGTAAGTATATATTATACACTTATATGGTACCTACATTATAATGTATACTATATGCGTACGAGGCGAAAATCTAAACCCCAGTGGAGGGTAAGACGACCCTCGAAGCTGCGCACCGAGTGTTTAACCTGACCGGTTACAAATCTAATTTCCACCTCTAAAGCGTACACCACTTTAGACAATGTACCTTCATTTGATGACGTATCGAGTAGATACCCGGGATTTTGCCGAGGAGCCTGTCAAATAGAATAAAGATCCTAAAGTATAATATATATCATATTATGTGGTGCGCTCATACACGTGATTGTAATTACTGAATACTTACCTGTTGTTTTGAACAATTATATGTTTTAACATGTTCGGGCATAGTGGAGACAAGGGTCATTGTACTCACAGAGGAGTGTAGGAATCGTTATAACCAAGAATGATGAAATCCCTTAAGAAAAAAGCTTGAATGTGTAACTAACGGTAGAAATATTAAATTACGGTAAAAATCACTGCCAAGGCAATAACATGCTTTTAAATAAATGAATTATAGCTTAGCATTTGAAAATTCAACAGCACCACTAATACTCGCATAATGTAACTTATAAGTATGAAGGTCAAAGGGAGACAACAAATGTAGGCATTTCATAAAAAAACATAGTAGCTGTTAAGGTGTTATATAATAACTTATATTTTAAGAAGAAACTTGTGAATTAAATTCTTGTTGATAAATATATTATAGAATTATAGTAAAAAAAACCAAATCCTGGTCGTCTGATAAATATTTTATTTTAAACGGAAATTAATTGAATCGTTAGAAATATTGACAGGTTCATACGAAAGAAACGGTAATCAGTATACGTGTGTTTAGGCCTTTAGTGTCACAGCACCCTTGTATGAATCACTTCTATACTCAACCGCAAAGTGACTATATATAAATATGAGTGTAAGCCAAATGTTAACATTTAGCATAGTAATATATTATTTTACCTTACCGATATATATGATGATTCACTACAAAGACACTCAATATCTCTTGAAATAATTGTAATTTTTTAGATTTTTTTTTTTTTTATGAAAACATTCTTGTTTATTTTATCTTAAAATATTAAATAATTATCTTTTTAAGTATTTTCTAAAGTTCTATCAACTTTTCAAACTTAAAAGACAAAGTATATATTTAATTCCTAGCCTTTTAAATAAATAAAATGTGCAACAAAATTATTAAAATAAAAAATGATTCGATTAAATTGTGAAATAATTATTCGAATAGCGTTTCATTCGAATAAGAATTTGCACAACTCTGGCCATAATATAGTGTTACGTGGTCAACGAGGTACATAGAAATGGAACGATAATTTGTTGTCAAGCTCATACAAAGCATACAAAGCTTGTAGATTTCAAGAGAAGCCGGTGGGGTTCGATGGATATTGTATAATGTCAATACCTACATAGTATTACCATTTGATCATCCGTTTGAAATTTCCATACTAAAATCGACAGCTATTGCTGTGTGTTGCTCGCTCAAAAGGTTACAGTGATATGAGATATCTATTTTTGAATACACATAATATTTGATATGTTATATAATATATATATATATATATATATTGTTACCCAAAACGACCAACCGACATGACCAACACCACCAGCTTTACCGCCTGCAAAACCGCCACGCGTTTGGCTCGGACTGCCGCAAAACGTTTACCGCACTTCGGCCGAGTTTACGGTCGACGCTGAACTTTTGACTTGTTGGTTTAATTAAAAGTCAGAGTTTGGTGTACAGCGAGTAAACGGGCATGAGGGGTAGTCGAGGGGAAGGCGGTGGAATTTTAAACGGGTCGAAACGGCGTCGGTCTCATTAGTCGCTGTCCGGCGCCGCGTGTGCGCTCCCCATAAGC